AAAAAAAGCACTGGCTGCTCTTGCAGAGGACCCAGGTTCAGTTCCCAGCACCTATATGGTGGCTAACAACCATCAGGGGATCTGATGCCCTCTTCTGATCTCTGTGGGCATTGCCCAACACAGGTGCATTTACATACAGGCAATACACCATACACATAAAATAATAATAATAATAATAATAATAAATAAAAGATGCCACCAGGTAAATGGTGGAGTCCTCCAGACAGAGGGAAGAAGAGGTATTGGCCAGAAACTGCACAGTCTCACAGTAATAGAACACTGAGGCTGACAGAATCAGAGATGGCACGGAGAAGTCGGTGGGCCATGAGGTCAGAGAGGTGTGGACTGCTCGGGTAGAGCCTAGCAGGTAGAGAAGCACAACATCAAGCTGACTGTAAAGGAGATACTAGCAGCCAGGCTGAGAATTGGAGTGTGGAAGTGAGTGGAAATTTTGCAAGTAGATGGTACAAGTTGTAAAGCCCCGAATCTGGACTACACTCTGTGGGTTCAAGGTACACGCATGGTTGGAGCTGCAGAGGTGGCTGCCCTGGGAGACTGAATAGGGTAGTAATGGTTCTCAGATTATCTAAGTCATTCGAGGCCACAGTAATGGGTTTGGATCAAAACTGACATGGAAAAGATGAGGTGGAGAGAGCAGGATGGAGAGTGATGGACGCTGCTCCAGAGTGGCTCAGCAGAAGCAAAGGCTGCAAGAGGGCAGCAGTATATTCAGAGAGGCAACAGGCCGAGCGAAGGGGCTGAGAGAACGATGCAGTAAAGAACGCAGACTCAGAGCTGACAGGGCCGAGGTCTAGCAGGACTTTCTGTGTGAGGAGCTTGATTGCAGGCAAGCCCAGGACAAAGCAGGGGCAGCAGGGTTGGTGGGCAGTGTCTTGGCAGAGTGCAGAGACCTTGAGGCTAGCCTAAGCAAGGAAGTGTTTAGGATGCATTATTTACCTCTCTCCTTGCCATGACCAAACATCTGGCGAGAAGCCAATTCAACGGGGAGGAGGATTCATGAGGGGATAACAGTCCATTACGGTGGGGACGACATGGCTACTGGTGGCTCCAGGGCAACTGGAGTATGAGGAGGGTCTTGCTCAAATTGCAATGGACCAGGAGATAAAGGGAGAGTTCAGTGGGAATTGGGGCCAGCCTATAACCCCTAAGACCTTCCTTCCAGCTTTGTACTTTCTCAAACTTAGCCCCGACTCGTAAAGCTTCCAAGGACTCCTAATACAGTGCCATACGCTGGAGAGGAGGTGCTCACACACATGAGCCTGTGGGCACATTTCACACTCAAACCACAAGCACTGGGAGACAAGTGAGGCAGCAGTCGGGACTTGAATTTTAGCTTGAAGGGTGAGGCATGATGGATGGTATGCCAGGCAGAGTGAACAAGTGCCAAGCCCTGAGAGAGGAGCAAGCACAGTGTGTTCAAGAGAACAGCAAGGAGGGAAGAGTGGCCTGAGCTGGGGAGAGGGTGAGCGAGAACATGAATATTCTGACCTGAAGGTCCTTCTGCGTCTCTACAGGTGGACGGCATCCTTCATTACCCGCCCTTCCAGGCGGCAGGTGGGAAGGTGCAGATATTCCGCCAGGGCAATGATGCTGTCGTGCGCACAGACTTTGGCTTGACTGTCACCTACAACTGGAATGCTCATGTGGTCGCCAAGGTGCCTAGCAGCTACGCGGAGGCCGTGTGTGGGCTCTGTGGGAACTTCAATGGAAACCCAAGTGATGACCTGGCTCTGAAGGATGGAAGCCAAGCCACCAGTGTACTGGACTTTGGGAACAGCTGGCAGGTGGAGACAATACCTGGCTGTGAAGCAACTGATCCCGGCGACTGTCCCCAGCTGGACTCCCTTGTGACCCAGCAGCTACAAAGCAAAAACGAGTGTGGGATCCTTGCTGACCCCAAGGGGCCCTTCCGGGAGTGTCACAAATTACTGGATCCCCAGGGTGCTGTACGTGATTGTGTCTATGACCTTTGCCTGCTGCCCGGCCAGTCTAAGCTACTGTGTGACGCACTAGCCGCATATGCTGCCGAGTGCCAGGCTGCTGGGGGCACTGTGCATCCCTGGAGGAGTCAGGAACTTTGCCGTGAGTACCAAGAGTGGCAGCTGGAGGTTCAGTCTCTCTGTTGATGTTTACTCATTACCATGTTCCTAGCATCGTTTCCTTTAATGCTTATAACGGCTCCCTGAGGAAGGGATAGTATTTATCCCCACGATCAGCTGAGGGAAGTGCAGTTCAACTTTGAGTTACCTGCAGGGATCGTGACAGCTGGAAAGCCACAGACAGTAGCCTGTGGTTTATATAGATGGTTGAACTCCCTGAGTCTGACTCCCAATGGGCAGCTGTCATTCAGAGATCAACAGGGGCACTACCTTTAGGAGCCCATCTGGCCAACTTTACCAATTTACGTCTGCCTGGCCCCTTCAGGGCAGTCTGCAAGCCTTGCTCCAGATGTGAATACAGGGTGTCTGAGTTTAGTTCCTGTTGCTGTGGTTAAACGCTAACTAAAAGCTACTTGGGGAGGAAAGGGAGACCATCATCAAGGAAGGCCCAGGCAGGAACTCAAGGCAGAAACTTGGATGCAGGAACTGAAGCAGAGACCACAGAGGAGGGAGCTGCTTACTGGCTTGCTTCCCTTGGCTTGCTCAGCTATCTTTTTTTCTTAAAAAAATATTTTATGTGTATGAGTGTATTGCTTTCATGTACGTAAGTGCACCCGTGTTGTGCAATGCCTGCGGAGGTTGGAAGAGAGGGTTGGATCCCCTGGAACTGGAGTTACGGATGGTTATTAGCTGCCATGTGAGTTCTGGAACTGAACCCAGGTGCTCTGCAAGCACAGTCAGTGTTCTTAGCCACAGAGCCAACTCGCCAGCCCCCTCAACTACCTTTCTTATCCAGCCCAGGCCCACCTGTTAGGGCTGGCACAGCTTGCAGTGGGCGAGACCCTCCTACATCAAGTAACAATGAAGAAAATGCTCCATAGACACGCCCATAGGCCAACCGGATGGAAACAATTCCCCAGTTGAGACTCCCTCTTTCCAGGTGTCTCTAGTTTGTCAAGTTGACAGAAATTAACCAGCACGGCTGGCAAACAGTTTTGCTTGCCTATTACAGATATTTGGAAAGCCACACATCCATCTCGTGAGTTTCAGATTTACTTGGGTTTTGGAACATAGCACATACATTTTAACTATGTACATAAGTGAACAGCTTGATTACCTTTTAGCTTGAGAAAAAACTATGCAGTCACAAGTTCAAGGAATAAACGCACCAGGTTCCCTGCCCCATACAGCTGCCGCTGCTGTGCTGCTGAAGTCTGAACTTTCCATGAACAGGCATCTTGCAGCTGGGTCACTTGCATGTGTGCGTGCATGTGTGGAGGTCGGAAGGGAGCCGCTGTGAACTTCTGGGGAGAGAATTATTGATCTCAATGGCCCCTCTCTCTGCAGCGCTGACCTGCCCACCTAACAGCCACTATGAGCTATGTTCCTATGGCTGCCCGCTGTCCTGTGGAGACCTGCCAGTGCCTGGAGGCTGTGGCTCAGAATGCCGTGAGAGCTGCATTTGTGATGAGGGCTTTGCCCTCAGTGGTGAGTCCTGCCTGCCCCTGGCTTCCTGCGGCTGCATATACCAGGATACCTACTACCCACCAGGACAAACCTTCTATCCTGGACCTGAGTGTGACTCTCTTTGCCACTGCCAGGAGGGCGGCCTGGTTTCCTGTGAGCCCTCATCCTGTGGTCCACATGAGGCTTGCCAGCCATCCAATGGCATTTTGGGCTGTGTGGCTGTAGGCACTACCACCTGCCAAGCATCAGGAGATCCTCATTACATCACCTTCGATGGCCGCCGCTTCGATTTCATGGGCACCTGTGTGTATGTACTGGCACAGACCTGTGGGACCCGGCCTGGCCTGCCCCAGTTCACTGTCCTGCAGGAGAATGAGGCCTGGGGCAATGGGAAAGTCAGTGTGACCAAGGTGATCACTGTCCTGGTGGCTAACTACACCTTGCGGCTGGAGCGGCAGAAGAGGAAGGTCACGGTGAGAGCAGAGGCGGGGCATGGGAGGAGGCAGTGTGGGAATGACGTGTGGGTGGGGCATGGACAGAATGCAGTCCCAGGAGAATGTGGTGCAAATGGGGGCCCCAGTGAGAGAAGGCCTCAGACACTGGGGACCTTTTCCCATGTGGCTCTGTCTCTCCCCATGTCCCACTATCCCTGCTGAACGTCTCACTTCCTCCCACTCCACCTGGAGCCTGCACCAGCCACTTCCTGGTTTCTCACCCCATGCAGGACATGGTGTAGCCGCAGTATAGGAAAGTTCCGGGATGTGAAAGGTTCAAGGACAGAGGACAATTTGTGACCCCATCATCCCTTAACAACCACAGCAATAGCAATAAGTCAGCTACTGATTTCAGACACTACCTCCAGACTACTGGCCTCTAAGCACCTCACATCCACACCATCATTTTAACCTTGTAAGAGTAATTGAAGGCACCATGATTTTCCTTTTTTCCTTTTTTCGAGGGAGCATTCTGATCCCTGGTCAAAAGTCCCCCAGAAAAGGCAGGCAGTGTGTTAATTTTCTTGTTTCCATGACCAAAATCCCCAAGAGAACAGCTTCAGGAAGGACATATTTATTTTGGTTTAGGGTTTCAGAGTTCAGTCCATGGTCGATTGGCTCTGAGCACTTGGGAAGAACAGGGCAGTGGGAGCATGTGGGAGAAGAGCTGTTCCCCTGGCAGACAGGAAACAGGGAGAAATTAAGTGACCAGGCCCTGCCCTCAGTGACCTACATCCTCCATCCAGGTCTCCTCAAGTTTCCAGACCCTCCCAAAACAGTGCTGCCCACTGGGAACCAAACAGGAAAATGTTACCCTTTGGGAGGCCTTTCATAGTCAAACTACAATGAGCAGGCTTTAAGCCCCAAATCACGGCAGCTGGACCCTGTGCCATGTTCTTTCTGAGTGACAAGGAGTTTGTGTCACATGGAAATTGGCATTGCAGATACACGGGGAATTCTTCCAGACACCCCACTGACATGCAGGTGCACAGACACTGCTCTGGTTAGGTACACGCCTTCTTACATGCACTGGGCATGGGTTACGTGATTCAGCCTCTTTCTTAATGTTGCTAGCCTCAGAGCAGCACCTGACAGAATCAGCTCCAAACTCAGGAATGGTTTCTGTTCTTATTTATGTTTCACTGAGTCCCCAGCAAAACTTCAACCACGTCCACATTGCAGAGGAAGAAACAGGCCCAGTTGTTAGGTAACTTAGCAGCCCTCTTAGGGGAGTCTGGGGTTGATGTTTTTAGGACACAGCCTAGAGCAGGTCTTTTCCCTATCTTCTTCCCCTTCTCCTCACACCTATGAGAGTCCTGTGTGTACAGTGTGTGTGGCGAGGAAGGAGGAGCAGGTGTGTTGATCAGGGGTGCCTTTCCAAGGCCTTGTTGGGGTCCAGAGCCTTCAGGGGATCCTCAGCTCAGGAACTGAGCCTGACTGTCCATCCACTGACACCTAAAGCAGATAGTCTTAGTGTGAATTTACTCTTCAGAAGGGAAACTTCCAGTTACAGTATTCACATGAATGCTCCCACAGTGCCCCTGTGCCAGCCACATTTCGCAGGGTTTTACAGGAATCTGTCAGATTCCCCCAGACAACACTCTATGGGCAAGGGACCTGATCCTTTCTAGAGCCACAAGAAACAGAAACAGAGGTGAAATTCTTGCCCAAGGGCAGAGGGGTAAGGGGCAAGCTGTGCTTCAGTCCAGCCCTGTGCATGATGTCACCTGAGCTACTGAGGCCATTGTCCATGGACACCTACAATCATTTCCTGGTGGCTACTGTGACAAAATGCCACAAGTTTAGTGTCTATTGCATGACACAGGTGCATTCACATACATGTAGGCAATACACTCATACACTTAAAATAAAAATAATAAAAAATATAACATGTTTCTATTCTCACAGTTTTGGGTGCCAGATGTCTGAAATCAAGGTGGCAGCAAGGCCACACCCCCTCAGAGGCTGGAGGAACCTTTTGCCCTTCCAGCTTTTGGTAGCTACAGGTGCCCCCAGCTTGTCATGTCCCCGCCTTGATCCTCTCGTGCCTCTACCTGCTGTGTGTCTCTATGCTTTTCTTTTCTGGCCTCAAAGGGTACTTGTCATGGGATTTAGAGCCCACTCATCCAGGATGACCTTACTTCAAGATAGTGACTCTAATTCCTCTCACAAAGATACAGTTACTTTCTGGCCCACAGAGGCCAGAGGGGGCATCAGATCTCTTGAAGCTGGAGTTACAGGCATTTGTGAGCTGCCTGATGTAGTTGCTGGGATCCAAACTTTACCATCTAATAAGCAGGAAGCTCTCTTACCCACTGAACTAGCTCTCCAGCCCCTAAGTAGACTTATCTTTGGAAACTACAATTCAACTCATTACAAGACACTATTACTATAGCATATTTCATAAATATGGAAACTGAGGCACAGAGATGTGAGGCCACATAAGACTTCAACATCAGGCAGGGACATTTAGGGACAGAATGCCTCAAAGTGTACCTCTAAAGTTTGTTATCTCCTGTCCTCCCAGGTGAATGGCGTGGACATGAAGATGCCGGTGGTGCTGGATGGGGGCAAGATCCATATCTTTCTGCACGGGTCTGATGCTGTGATTGAGACCGATTTTGGCCTGCGTGTGGCCTATGATCTCATGTACTATGTGCGGGTCACCATCCCAGGGAACTACTACCAGCAGATGTGTGGCCTGTGTGGGGACTATGATGGTGACCCCAAGGATGACTTCCAGAAGCCCGATGGCTCACAGGCAGCCAACCCCACTGACTTTGGTAACTCTTGGGAGGAAGCTGTGCCTGACTCTCCCTGTGCGCCACCGCCTCCCTGCTGTGACACCGAGTGCAGCCCTGAGCTGGAGGACAAGTATCATGGAGGGAAATTCTGTGGGCTGCTCACCAGCCCCACAGGCCCGCTGGCTGCCTGCCACAAGCTGGTGGATCCTGAGGGTCCCTTACAAGACTGTGTCTTTGATCTCTGCCTGGGTGGTGGGAACCTGAGCATTCTGTGCGACAACATCCATGCCTACGTGAGTGCCTGCCAGGCAGCTGGAGGCCAAGTTGAGCCCTGGAGGACTGAAACTTTCTGCCGTGAGTGACGGTGATGGGACACTGAGGGGTGGGGAGGGGGGAGGTTGGTGGAGAAGGGGTGGAACCTGCACCCCATCCCACTGCTTCCCTGAGCTCTGATCCGCAACCCATTCTTGCAGCAATCAAATGTCCCCCTCACAGCCACTATGAGCTCTGTGCAGACACCTGCTCCCTGGGGTGCTGGGCTCTCAGCGCTCCAATACGGTGCCCAGAAGGGTGTGCTGAGGGCTGCGAATGTGACTCTGACTTCCTGTACAATGGCGAAACCTGTGTGCCCATCCAGGAATGTGGCTGCTACCACAATGGAGTCTACTACGAGGTAGGAAGCCGGCCATCTGGACAGAACCTGGGGCCTCTTCCTGGATCCCCCAGTCCCACTGCTCATGCGCACATTCAGCCTCCCAAATAGTGCTTTGCCCACCGCTGTCCCCTCCCCTTGCCCTACCTTGGTCCACCTTGTCTGTACTTTTGCTTCCTCGGGTCTACCCTCCCCATGACTGTTGAAAGACCTTTTAAAATAAGATCACGGGTCCTGAAGCTTTAAATCTTTCACTGTCTCCCAGGTCAAGACTTAACTCAGAATCCTGGGTCTGGGCAAAGGTGGCCTTCTAGACCACAAAGATAAGGTCTTGTCGGTTCCACCAGATCCTCCCCCTCTTTGCTTCCCTCTTCTGGTCTCCCTCAGGGAGCCTTTTGAATCAAGTCTGTGGTTGCTTAAAGTCTGTCTCTTTGCAGGACAGGATGCTGAGGGCAGCGCTGTATTTGTGGTTCTCTCATGAATGTAACAGTCATGGCAACAAATGGGTGGATGGACCTGTTTTATCACGGACATATATTACATATATATGTAGACTTCTCATTATGAGCATTTCAAATGTGCTGTGTTGATAGAGTAGTGGAAGGTGTCACTACACCTGCTCATCAATCTGCTTCCAGAATAACCCTCTTTTCACTCTACTTCATCTCTACCCACCTTCCTACCAGTCTGAATAATGAAGAGGTTCCTCTTTCACTTCCTCTCCACACACATTAGAACTCAGTTATATTGTCTTAGGTTGGTCCTGTTATTCTCTGCCTAGAACACTGGGATGCCAGAGTCTGCTCCCACTCCTGGGTACTGATGCCATGTTCTCTGTCTCCTTAGCCAGGACAAACAGTTCTCATTGAAAACTGTCAACAGCAGTGTGTGTGCCACACAGGCACAGACATGGTGTGTGAGGAACACAGCTGCAAGCCGGGGCAGGTGTGCGAGCCCTCAGGAGGCATCCTGACCTGCGTCCCCAAAGGTGCTGGACAGTGGGGCTGGGCTGATGTGGCTGGGGACACAGGGCAGAGCCTGGGAGGGTGGCGTAACTTCATGGTAGGAGGTGCAGAGGGCTATGGGTTGAGGTGTTAGACCTTGGGTCGTGTTTCCAGGAGGCAAGAGCTAAGACCATCCAGTCTTGGTGCCAAGGACCCTAATGGAGAGTCTAGCCTGTGGGAACCTCAGGGCAAGGTTTCCCAGGATAGATATAACAGGCTCTTGGGTACTCGGCAGGATCGGGCAAACCTTTTCTCTCAGGGGCCTAATGGTAAATATTTAAGCTTACAGGCTGCATGGTCTTGGGCGCAAGTTCTCCCATCTGCCCTTATGAGCTACAAACTTTGTATATGAAGGGATAGAACTGTGATACAACTTTATTACAAAACCAAGCACTAAGTGATCCCATGGTTTGTTAGCCACTGACTTGTTGATTAAGCTTGGGGCTTCAGACATCTGCATCAAGGATCAGTAGATGAAATCTATGTCATCTAAATTTCCATTTCCCTGGTGACTAAGGACATTGAACATTTGTCAGTTACTCCCAGGGCCTAGGGAGCTGAATCCCTTCAAATGGGGATCAGGATTTCTAGGGGTTCTGTCTCAGAGGATCCCTAGTTTAAATTTGGGACTCCGAGCCTCTCAGCGTTAGTTTCTTAGGGTGAGAGGGCACCAGTCCCAATCTCCAGTGTTGCTTGAGAGAATAACACTAACTGCAAAAGCAACTACCATTGATAGGTAAACCCACTACAAAAACAGTAATGACCCTTTAAAGCTTATCACCACTGTGGCCCCAGTAATTCTGGAGGAGGAAAGGGGCAGACAGCACTGCATGTAATGAGAGGGGGGTGGAAAGAAATTGAGGAATACCAGCAGTGGAGTCTATAAGAAAGAAAGAAAAACAGAAGACAGAAAAGCAGGCAGAAGGAAATGAGAAACAGGGACGAGGAAGAGGAGGAGTGCTAAATCCCGCTAAAGTGAACACGGAAGGGACAGGCAGAAATGAAGCAAAAGACTGTGCGTGCTGGAGGACGAGAGAGAAGAAAAGGGGGGAGAGAAACCAGATTTGCCTGAAGATGGTGAGTGTCACCACGAAGCTGCCCCTCAGTCACCGCAAAGAAGCTGCCTGTCACCACGAAGCGCACCGAGCAGAGACAAGAATTGCTCTTTTCAGTGCTGGGAAGTGAATTAGGGCCTCACACATGCTAGGCAGGTGCTCCACCTCTGAGCTACATTCCCAGGCCAAGAATTTCTTTCTTTCTTTTTTTAATTTTTAAGTGTATGCGTGTATTGCCTGCATGTAGGTAAGAGCACCCGTGTCGTGCAATGCCCGCAGAGGACAGAAGAAGCTGTCAGATCCCCTGGAACTGGAGTTACGGACAGTTGTTAGCTGCTATGTAGGTGCTGGGATTCGAACCTGGGCCTTCTGCAAGAACAGCCAGTGTTCTTAACTGCTGAGCCGTCTCTCCAGCCCCAGGAATTTTTTTCTTGAGACAAGGTCTCACCATGTAGCTCTGGCTGGCCTGGAACTTGCTATGTAGGCCAGGCTGGCTTCAAACTCGCCTTCAAACTGCCTCTGCCTCCCAAGTGATGGGATTAAAGGCATGCACCACCACGCCCAGCACAATTTTGTCTTTCTAATACAGAATATAAAAGTGCCCCCACCAATCTCTCCTGCCCACTACCGAAAGCTGTGTTTGGTAGGTTCCATCTATAATTCCAGCATGGACACTGAAAGCCCCAAGCAAGCCTGTGCCCTAGACTAAGAGCCCATGATGAGAGAGAGGGGGGGGGAAGAGAGAGGAAGAGGAGGAAAAATGAAAATTTTAAAATCAAAACACAAACTAAAATAATTTTTAGAATGAGGATGGGATCGCTGTCCTCTAGCGACGCCAACCACCTGGTAGTAGTTCAGAAAGCTGCCTTCTACCAACTAGTTTTTCTCTCTCTGGTCTGTGCTGTTTAGCTTCCTGCATTTTCCTTTCTTTTCTCACATAGCAACCAGCAGATGTGCTCTGTGGAGCCAGAAGTCATCACTCCTGACTGTTGCCCTGCTTGTCACATCTAGATAGGACAGCCATAAAGCTTTCTAGGCAGGACCTAGCATCTAGGGCCTTACATTGCCTGGTTCTGTAGGGGAACCTGCATAGGGATGTACAGATCGGTGACAGGGCTTCAAAACTTACTGGCTGCATTCAGTGACTTGCTCCCACTCCTTCCCCTTCTCAGAGCTCTAGCAGCTAGCCTCCAGACCCGACAGCCCAGATGGGAAGTCACTTCCATTTTGAGTCCCTGTTTTCCCCCCATGCAAAGCCCTTCAAGGTTCTGATTCAGTTTTTCCACTGTAGCTTAAACCAACTTTGCAGACCAGAACTCAGTGAACAGTGCCTGATGTTTGGCTGAGGATTTCTGGAAGCGAGATAATGCAAGGACTTTTGACTTCTAAACCTGTAGATTCAGACACTATCTTTTCAAAATGGCTTCCTGGCACTGAGTTATGACTGACTGTCAGGAAGAAGAGGGAATGTTCTTGATGCCTAGGCATCAGCAGACTCCTGGGCTCCCATCTGGGTAGACTACAAGTTAGCTCAGTGTTGAGTCCATTAATAGTGTTTTGTGAGTTTCTCTTCTTTCTTCTGTCGGCTTCCACTGCTGCGCCACCTGTGCCAGCCTACCTCCTGCGGCATCCTCCCTCCTCCCAACCCCCATTCTGCCTTCTGCATTGCTGGGGGTTTTCATTTGTTTTGGTTTAAGAAATTGGCTCTTCACAACTGAATTACACTGCATGTTTTCTGAGTCACTAGCTCTTTCCTTCTTTCACCTCTGTCCCCTCCCTCTGCAGCCGTCCACCGACTGAGCACTCACCTCCCGGAGGAGACCCCTCCTTTCCTTCTTTTTACTTTCCAAACTTTATATTTCTCTAAATATATGTATCCACTGCTGAGACTTGAGTGCTTTCTGCCATTGTCCATCTCATTGGCTAGCTGCTCTCCAGATGTCTCCGAATCGTTCCCCAGCATTTGGTGTATAGGAGTAGTCCACTATCTCCCCTCTCAAGATGCATAACTAAACGGGAATTGACTACTTTCAGGAAAAGGGAGCACCACAGAATCCACAAGCACAGCAGTCCCACTCTGGAGCTAATTCCAAACGCACAGGGAAGGTGAGAATTGAACAAGGCCTCCCGCCCTAGTGCCTCAGACCTCACTGGAGAGGGCACTGATGCAGCCACTGGGTGGCAGAGGACACCACAGGCTGCAGTTGCAGGAATGAAACTCCCACTGGAGTGCTGGCAAAACTCGATTGGAAGCAGCCACCTGGGGTATCTAGGTGATAGATAGAAAGCGTCTGGGCCAGTGGAATGCACTGAGCACATGCCTCACACACCACAGGCCCCCACAGCAGCAGCAGCAGCAGCAGCAGCAGCAATAACAGAGCAGGTTGAAAGGAAGAGGCCCCTTCCTCTTGCAGAGACTCCACAGTGCCCTCTACTGACAAAGCTCCAAGGACCAGTTCCAAGCAGAAGACAGTCCTTTTCTACTCAACCCACTAAACAGAGGAGCACCTTTGAAGGCTGGCTTCCAAAACACAAAGCTGGAGCCACAGATAGAGTGATAGTAGTGGACTCTGGAACACAGACTCCCTTGAGGACAAGCCCTCCAGAATGAGACTTCTAGGGCTGGATGCAACAACATACAGGAATGAGTTTTGCACTGTGGGGTGTCCAGGCCATGAGACTTAGATATGGGGACCTGAATGGCCAAGATATAAAATTTCTAGACCTTGGCTACTGGGTTCTCCCCCTTGGGCATGCGATCAGCGTTCTGGGACCTCATGCATGGGGCTCAGAGGGAGTGGGGTCTCAAACATGGATGTTCCCAGTACTGACTTACATCTCAGACCCAGGGATGTTGGGGTGCAAGTTTCAGTCTGGGTCAACTAGAGTTGAGATTTCAAGAAAGAAAACCCCGGATCCAGAACCTTGAAAGCAGAAACCCCACAACCAGGGTCTTAGACAACAAACTGTAAGGTCTGAGTTCCAGAGAAAAGTTCCTAGGGCCTGAGTCTTGGTGGCAGGGACCTTAAGAGCCTACATCTTTGATTATGGACACAGTTCACCATAGGTCCCGAGTGTCATATTTGGGTGACTTGCAGGGCCTGATTCTAGACACAGCAATCCCAGGGTCTGGGACTTCTGTGTCAAGATGCTGGGATCTGGTCTCATCCGAAGCAACACTCAGAGCCAGTATCCTTGGCATGGACTGAGAGTTGGGAGCAGTCATGTTTGTGGTGGGCAGCCCCTGAAGGTTCTCTTTCCTCTTCCCACAGACCCATGCCATAGCGTCACCTGCCGGCCACAGGAGACATGCAAAGTTCAAGATGGCCAGGGCGTGTGTGTGCCCAACTACAATTCCACATGCTGGCTATGGGGTGACCCTCACTACCACTCCTTTGATGGCTGGAACTTTGACTTCCAGGGCACCTGCAGCTACCTGCTCGCAGGAACTGGCTGCCCTGGAGTTAGTTCTGAGGACTTGACTCCCTTTACTGTCACAACCAAGAATGAGAACCGGGGCAACCCTTCTGTGTCCTATGTGAAAATGGTCACCGTGACCACCCTCAACACCAGCATCTCCATCCACAAGAACGAGATTGGCAAAGTCCGGGTATGTTCTGTAGGATGGTCCCCTGAACACCCCCCACCCAGAGGGTGAGTGAGTCCCTGATATTAACAGCAACAGTTGGGAGCTAGGAAGTCTCTGTCCTCATGTAGACCTGAAATCACATGGGGAAAAACTGCAACAAACCATTGCCCCTCTCCTGGAAATTAAGCCAAGCTCTTTGCTAAGACCTTTAAAGCAGGCCACTGGCATTTGCCTTTGTATGGATCTGGATCTGAGTTCAAGCCTTCTCTGTGCTGCTGTACAAGTGTGAACACACTGGGTCTTGTGGCTGCCCCCGCCACCCAGCAAGTGGTGCAAGTTAGGAGCTCTGCTTAGAGCCTAACCTGAGCAAGCTCCTGTGAATGAAGGGACAAAAAGGGCCCATTCTCAGAGAGATATCAGAGAGACTGGGAGAAAAGCAGGGGCTGAACTTTCTGCTGCGGGAATTGAAGACACTGCTTATAATAGGAGCTCTCGGAGAGGGAAGGAGGCATGGAACAGGACAGACAGTTCAGAGCTGCTGGTGAGTGGAGACATCTGGAACAGAGATGCAGCAGAGACAATGAGAAGAATGAGGGAAGGGAGAAATGCACAGAGACAGAGATGCAGGGAGGAAGATCCAGAAGGAGAGGTAAACCCAGCAGAAGGGAGAGGGAAAGATAGAGAGTGAGATCAGAGTTTAGAGAAATTAGGTGAGATGTTTCACTGCTCAGGAGCAGGCTGAATAGATGGCTGTGACATCTGTAAAGGGATCTAAAACCACCAGTCAGGAGGAAGGCCTTGGCAGGATTGGCAGGAAGGAGAAAGGAATGAGGGCATCTGCAGCTCCCATGACCCCTGTTGGCCTCCCTCCCTCCCCAAGAACTGTGGTCTTGGGCATGAGAAAAGGATGCCAGGATCTCAAACATAGGGAAAAAGGGGCTGAGTGAGGTCTCAGGCCTAAAGGCCCCCTACCTACATCTCAGACCCAGAGACTGTGGAAAGCAGGTCTCAACCTGGGTCAATGGGGCTGAAATGGCAACTAAGGGAATTCTGGAACCAGGATCTTGAATGTTAGGACCCCAGAATTAGATAGCAAGCTATAGGCCTAGGACTCAGAGAAAGGAACCTTGCAGTCCGAATGTTGACAGCACTAACCCACCAGGACTGAGTCTCAAATGTGAGGACATTTATACCCGGATTACAGACACAATCCAGGTCTGGTTTTTTCATAGCAAACCCAGGGCCTATAGTGTTAGAACATGGGGATCAGGTCTCACTCAGAACCATTATCAGACTTGGGCAGATGCTGGGAACAGCCATGCTTGTGGTAGACAGCCCTTCAAAGTCTTGTCTCCTGTTTCCACAGACCCATGCCAAGGCATTACCTGCCGGCCACAGGAGAAATGCACAGAGAAAGGTGGCCAGGGTGTGTGCATGCCCAACTATATTGCCAAATGCTGGACGTGGAGTGGCCCTCACTACTACACCTTTGATGGCTCAAGCCTGAACTTTCATGGCACCTGCAGCTATCTTCTGGCAGGAACTGAGTGCCCTGGGTTTAGCACTGAGGGCCTGATTCCCTTCACCATCATCACCAAGCATGAGAACCGGGGCAACCCTACTGTGTCCTATGTGAAGAGGGTCACTGTGACTACCCACAACACCACCATCTCCTTCCACAAGAAAAAGAATGGCAATGTCTTGGTATGATCAGCAGGATGGTTCCCTGAGGGCCATATTAGGATCTCAAGGAAGAATGGGGGGAGATCTAGATCAAGCAAGAGACCTAGGAAAAAAAATCAGATGTGAGTGCTTGTCCCCTAAAGCTTAGATTAGTAGACTATAATGTCAGCCAGTCAGGAGGAAGGCCTTGGCAGGAAGGAGAAAGGAATGAGGGCATCTGCAGCTCCCATGACCCCTGTTGGCCTCCCTCCCTCCCCAGGTGAACGGAGTGCTGACAACCTTGCCTGTGTCCTTGGCTGGTGGGCGGATTTCAGTGATTAATGCACTCTCAAAGGCTGTGCTGGTGACTGACTTCAGGCTGCAGGTCACCTATGACTGGAATTCACTGGTACAGGTTACGTTGACAAGTAGCTACCATAGCGTGGTGTGCGGGCTCTGTGGGAACATGGACAAAAACCCCAACAATGATCAACTCTTCCCTAACGGCACAATGGCTCCCTCAATGTCCACCTGGGGTGGCAGCTGGCGGGTTCCAGAGTGGGACCCCATTTGCTGGGATGAATGTCAGGGGTCCTGCCCAACATGCCCTGAAGATCACCTGGAGGAGTTTGAGGGACCTGGCTTCTGTGGACCTCTGATACCTGGCTCAGGGGGTCCCTTTGCCAGCTGTCATGCCCATGTGTCCCCCGAAACCTTCTTCAAAGGCTGTGTGCTGGATGTCTGCCTGGGTGGTGGTGGCAAAGACATACTCTGTGAGGCCCTGGCTGCCTATGCTGCTGCCTGCCAGGCTGCTGGCATCACCATCAAGGACTGGAGGACGCAGGCCGGCTGTGGTGAGTGGTGGAGAGCAGGCTGGAGCCGGGGGTCTGACCTTGACTTTGCTGGGCGGGGCTGGGTCACTCCCCACCTTGGGGTCTTCCTGCTGGGCTCTCCCAGTCTCTGTTCCAGGCTGTGTCTGGCTGTGTCTGGGGGTGTCTGGCTGTGTCTGGCTGTCTGGCTCAGGATCTCTGCTCGCATGTTCTGTCTCTCCTTTGGCTCCATTGGCATCTCTGTCTCTGTGTCATTGGATCTCTCAGCCTCCCTGCCCCACCTCTCTCTGTGTCTCCTCCCATCCTGACTCCAGTGGACACACCAACAAGATTTCTCTCCTTTCTTTCCTTCATCTGCCCACAGAGATCCCCTGCCCTGACAACAGCCACTATGAGCTCTGTGGTCCACCCTGCCCAGCTACCTGCCCATCTCCTGCACTCCGGACAACCCCAGATGCTTGTGAGGGACCCTGCGTCGAGGGCTGCCAGTGTGACAAGGGCTTCGTGTTGAGTGGCAAGGAGTGCGTTCCCCTGGATGGCGGTTGTGGCTGCTGGGCCAATGGCACCTACCACGAGCCAGGCAGCGAGTTTTGGAGCGATGCCACCTGCTCTCAGTGGTGCAGCTGTGGGTCTAAGGGTGGTTCCCTGGTCTGCAAGCCTGCCAGCTGTGGGCCAGGCAAGGAGTGTGGCTTGTTGCCCTCTGGCCAGCTTGGCTGCCAACCCACCAGCACAGTTGAATGCCAAGCCTGGGGTGATCCGCACTACACCACTCTGGATGGGCACCGATTTGACTTCCAAGGCACCTGCGAGTACCTGCTAAGTGCACCCTGCGAGGCACCACCCACGGGCACTGAATACTTCAATGTTACTGTTTCCAACGAGCACAGGGGCAGCCAGGCGGTCAGCTACACCCGCAGTGCCACTCTGTATATCTACGGCCTCAGCCTGACCCTCAGTGCCAAGTGGCCCCGACAGTTACAGGTGAGTTGGCTGTGAGCCACACAGAAACCCATGCTGTCCTCAGATGTGCAGTAGAGGATGAGCAGTGGGCCATTCTCTAGTGCACAGGCTCACTCCTGTAATCTCAGCACTGGGAGGCTGAGGCAGGAAGATTGCAGATGGTTTCAGGCAAGCCTAGGCTGCAAGTCAGGCCATTTTGGTTTTTAATTATGTGCATGGGTGTGTGCATGTGTGGGCTGGTGCCTGTACTGCCCAAAGGCATCAGATTTTTTGGAAGTAGAGCTCCAGGCAGCTGTGAGTCACCTGATGTGCTAGGAATTGAACTCAGGTCCTCTGGAAGAGCCATACCACTGAGCCATCTCTCCAGCCCCTGGTTTCCTTTTGTTTGTTGAACAGAACATAAACAAAAACAGAAAAGTGCCAAGGACACTGCATCTCTTTGCTATTACATATGGGTGGCAGCCTACTTTGGGTCCCAGAGCCTCTGCATAGCAGACAGGATTTGAACTGTATCACCACTCACTGCCTGCCCCTCTCCCCACACCAGGTGAACGGAGAGTTCGTTGCTCTGCCCTTCAAGCTGGACTCCCGACTGCAGGCTTACATAAGTGGCTCAGATGTAGTGATCACCACTGCCTCTGGAGTCTCCCTGGCATTTGATGGGGTCAGCTTCCTGCGCCTGCGTGTGCCTGCAGCCTATGCGGGCACCCTTTGTGGCCTGTGCGGGAACTACAACAAAAATCCCAGTGATGACCTGACAGCAGTGGAAGGGAAACCTGAGGGCTGGCAGGTGGGAGGTGCCCCAGGCTGTGATGAGTGTGTGCCCGGGCCTTGCCCAAAACCCTGTACTCCAGAGCAAAAGGAACCCTTCCGTGGTCCTGACGCCTGCGGGATAATCTCGGCCCCAGACGGCCCACTGGCAGCCTGCCACAGCCTCATACCACCTGAGCAGTACTTCGAGGATTGCTTGTTGGATGCCTGCCAAGTTCAGGGCCATCCAGGAGGACTCTGTCCTGCAGTGGCCACCTACGTGGCAGCTTGCCAGGCCGCTGGAGCCCAGCTTGGAGAATGGAGGAAGCCGGACTTCTGTCGTGAGTACTGACCCACACAGTCTCCACGTAGACGGGGTCTCCCCCACCCCTTCCAAGGGCTTCCTGCCTCCATGGAGCTCGAAGTCCACCCTCCTTCACCCCTCACCCCCAGCAGGTATCTCCTGTCAGAGACACACTTTGGCACTTATACACTGAAAAACATGAGTCCTATAGGCCTGGGGAGGGACCCAGTTAGACACCCGCAGTCAGAATCGTTGTGTGCAGACCACTCTGGGAGACTTAGAGCTCAGATATCCTATTGACTGGGACATGAGCCAGACACAGTCATATCACATATCACAGAGGCCTTGTAAGTTTCACCCTGGTCACACACTGGAATAATACAGCTAGCCACACAGAAGTGGCCTCAGAGCCCTGGGTAGACTCTACACTGCCTGCCGCACACTGGTCAGGACCTGCCCCGGGAAGATCCACATAGATTGAGTATGGAGCATCTCCTCAGGCAGATCTCCTGGGTCAAGGCCACGTCCTCAGTGCATAGTTGGTTCTAATCCATTCTGGTCAGATACACATAGTCAGATCCACCAACCAGTCACTTGGTCTTTGGAAGTATAGCACACCCTGCTCAGGGAGACCTGGCTGTGCCCCTCAGTTCTGAGATCCCACAATGGGTTGCCCTGTCAGATATTCTAGGTCAATTCCTATAGCTGTTCAGGTTGCCCCAGGCAGGCTGTCTCACCTGAGGCCAGATTCCACCATTGCCCCTATCTGACTCTCCTCTGTCCTGTCCTCACAGCCTTCCAGTGCCCTGCCAACAGCCACTACCAGCTCTGTGGTGACTCCTGCCCCGTGAGCTGCCCGAGCCTCTCAGCCCCCGAGGGCTGTGAAACCACCTGTCGTGAGGGCTGTGTCTGTGATTCTGGCTTTGTGCTCAGCGGTGACACCTGTGTGCCTGTGGGCCAGTGTGGCTGCCTCCATGATGGACGTTACTACCTGCTGGGTGCCACCTTCTACCCAGGCCCTGAGTGTGAACGGCACTGTGAGTGCGGCCCAGGTGGCCAGGTCAGCTGCCAGGAAGGTGTAGACTGTGGGCCCTATGAGGAGTGCAAGGTAGAAGAAGGTGTTCAGGCCTGCCATCCTACGGGTTGTGGCCGCTGCCTGGCCAGCGGGGGCATCCATTATGTCACCCTCGATGGAAGAGTGTATGATCTGCATGGTACCTGCTCCTATGTGTTGGCCCAAGTCTGTCACCCAAATCCTGGAGAAGAGGACTTTTCCATTGTGCTTGAGAAGACCTCAACTGAAGATCCCCAAAGAGTGGTGGTAACTGTGGCGGACCAGGTTGTGATCCTGTCTCACGGGCCACAGGTGAGTGGACATTCCCCTGCCCAGAGTTCTGGTGAGGACACAGCCCCACCCAGACCTCACTCTGTAGCCTGCAGGGGGATGCTGGCCAACTTGAGAGTCCTGGGAGCACCACAACCCTACCCTGGTGGTTCTGAGTTTGTAGGGAAAGGTGCCACCCTGGAGTCTGCTGAAGACATGGCCCCACCCTGAGAGTTTAACATGGCCTCACTCAAGTCCAACTAAAAGGGACTTAGCTCTGCTATGAGCCTCTGAGATAGACAAAGCCCCACGCAGAAGCTATGAGGGCCTGTGTTAAATTGAGGTGCTGTGATCCGCCCCCATCCTAACTGACCCTTCTACCCAGGTAACCGTGGATGGTGAAGCTGTGGCCCTGCCTGTGTCTATAGGCCGTGTGCGTGTGACTGCTGAAGGTCGAAACATGGTTCTGCAGACGAACAAGGGGCTAAAGGTTCTTTTTGATGGCGATGCCCATGTCCTCATGTCCATCCCTAGTACCTTCCGCAAACGTCTCTGTGGCCTCTGTGGGAACTTCAACGGCAACTGGAGTGATGACTTTGTGCTGCCCGGTGGTGCAGAGGCCCCCAGCGTGGACGATTTTGGAAATGCTTGGAGAGCTCCTGGCTCCACTGAGGGATGCATTGAGGGCTGTGGGCCCCAACGCTGCCCTGTGTGCTTGGCAGAGGAGACAGCAGCATATGAGAAAAATGAAGCCTGTGGGCAGATCCGGGACCCCAAAGGCCCCTTTGCTTCCTGCCACCAAGTTCTGAGTCCCTCAGAATACTTCCGCCAATGTGTGTATGACATGTGTGCCCATAAGGGTGACAAAGCCTACCTCTGCCGTGGCCTGGCAGCCTATACTGCGGCCTGTCAGGCAGCTGGCGCAACCGTGAAACCCTGGAGGACAGACAGCTTCTGCCGTGAGTGTCTGTGGGGCCCCTTGTGGGACTCCTGGCCCCTCCCCTGTCTGCTGCTCAGAAGTCCCTGTCTGTGACAGGGCTTCCTCCTGCCCAGCCACAGCATCCTCTGTCATTTCCCTCAACTTCTGACTCTGAAGTCTCAGACTCCAGTCAGTAGCCCCCTCTCTCCAGACTTCATGTTCACCTCTCCCCAGGACTGTCCCCAGCTCTTTCTCTGGTGACCTGAGAGGGAACGGCATGAATTATGATCCCACAAAAAGCCTGAATCTGTGCTTTACTGACCTTCCCACAAACCCTGTATCACAGCCTCAGGGTAAGGACAAAGCCAGTTGGTCCCCAAATCTAGGCCAGTACACCTCCTCCAAATTCCAAGGGCAGGGACATATAACCCCAGAGTGTCTGTGAACCATCATGTCCCAGGGCAGAGCCATTTCTCCTTCAGCCTCCTGAGAACAGGTTCCAGACCCAGAGCCACCGTCCACTCCATAGCCCAAGAACTGTCCCTATAACAGCAGACACTGTCTCCAACTCTGAACTCTCCCCAGAGCACTAGGTTCATGCATCCGTGGCTTCCTGGATACTTTTCCCTGGTGGTCCTTAGAGTCCCTACACCTGTCTCCAACTGAAACCAGCATGTCTCACCCCACAGCTGATCCTTCTTCCCTGTTCCAGTGCCCATCAGATGACAGCCACCTTAGTCTGCAAAGACTTAGCCAGAGTCTAGAGCTTTGCCTGCTTTTCTATGGTCCCTGACTCAGAACGTCTGACTCCACCTCCCCATCCCAGCCAAATCTCTGTTTGATTTTCCCAGCGCACAAGGGTCACTTTGTCCATTTCTGCTTGTCCCTGTGAATGCAGCTCTTTACCACAAGATTTAGGGCTCCTTCTGTTGTTTTCTCTGCAACACTGTAGTAGGCTGTGGTTCTGCAGCAAATGCTTGAGAGACACTGTTTTTAAGGAGGAGTTATGTTGTCTAAGGTTTCAGATATTTCTGTTGAAGGGGACTGAATATCATAGTGGGAGGGGCATGTGGCTTCATTGCATCCAGAAGACAGAGAGAAACAGTTTCCATTACTTCCCAGTAATGCCATAAAATTATGGATCCATCAGTAGCTTATGCATTGACAAGACAGAGCCTCATGATTCAATCACCACTTAATGATTCAGCCACCGAGGGAGCCATGTCTTCAACACATGAGTCTTTCCATCCTTCCCCCTAAAATCCTCATATCCACATCACAATGAAAACTATATTCAGCCTATCTCCAAGAGTCCCCAAAGCCTTAACAGTTCCAGCATTGCTCAAATGCCCCGGTCCAGAGTCTTTTCTGAGAGTCAATGCAAACCCTTCAATGTGAGCCTCTTTAAAAATCAAAATGCAGTTACACGTATTTTGATTTGCAATGTTCAATGATCTAACAGAGTGAAAATTCCTAAATAAAAAGGAGGATTGGACACATATGAGGGAGAATTGATACCAAAGCGAGAGCGAGAACAAAATCCAGCATGGCATGGTGTGAGCCTCAAAGGGCTGGGGCAGGCCTACCCGACGGCCTAGCCAGCTGCAGGCACATAGGCTCTCTGTAGCACTTCTTGCCTGTAGCTTTCAGTAGTCAGTGTCCACAACCGGTGCGACCCATCCTGCCTCCTCTCTCTGCAGCTCTTCAGTGCCCTGCCCACAGCCACTACTCTGTCTGCACACGATCTTGCCAAGGTTCCTGTGCAGCACTCTCTGGCCTCACTGGCTGCACCACCCGCTGCTTTGAAGGATGTGAGTGTGACGACCACTACCTACTCTCAGAGGGTGTGTGTGTCCCTGCCCAACACTGCGGCTGCACCCACAATGGCCGATACTTGCCGGTGAGCAGGGGCTTGAGGTAGGCAGGGTGGGTGGAGGAGACTGAGAGAGACTCAGCACTGCTGTGCTCTGAGTTTCTGTTCAAGGATTGGGACAGAGGAGCCCCAGCAGTTCCCAGCTGTGGGACTTGATGTGAGTCACCTCCCTGTACTGGTGTCCTGTGGCTCCTGTGTCCAGTCACCCCAGGCTTTGTATGTTAAAGCAAGAGACCTTAAATCTCCCACAGTTCTGGAGGCTGAGGGTCACTGGGCTACAGTCAGGGTGATGGAAGGGTGGCACTGTCTCCAGAGGTTCCAGAGGAGAATCTGTCCCTTGCCTCCCCCACCTTGAATGCTCAGTCTCTCCTTGCCTGGATCACACCACTCCAATCTCTGCCGCCACTTGTGTGTGATATAAAATTTCCCTGTGTCTCTCTCTTGTGAGGATACATGTGATTGCCCACCTAAATGACCCGGAACAAATTCTCCATCTAAAGAGCTTTAGCCACATCTGCAAACACCTTTTTTCATTTAAGGTAGCATTCCTGGTCCTATGAACTGGGAATGCGTATCTTTGGGGGTTTGGCCATGAGCCTACTACCCTTCCCACTCTGAACTTCACTTCTTCACCTGCAGAATGGCTGGATCAGCATCCTAGCATCTGAGAGTCAGGCACAATTGGTACCCACCAAGCTCTAGGCCTTGCCCCGTAGTTCATCCCATTCAGCAGAAAGAATGGCAATTCTCAATAGTGTAGTGGCTGGTCCAGCTAACAATCATTCAGTACTGTGATTTTGTATTTAATAGTCCATTTATTCTTGCTAATTGTTTTTCAAAGCTTCCTATACATAAATTTGGTGTAAATGCCAGTTTGTTTTCTAATCACAACAATCCTATGAGGATATGATTGCTGTTTTTCCTATTTTACAAAGAAATTGTACCATAGACCACATGTGCCATTTGCAAAGAGCCCAACTTCTGCTCCTTCCCTCAGGGTCACTGCCTACTGAAAGCCAGCCAGGGTCCCCTAGGCTAGGTCAGCAGACAGCCACCTGCACTCCCCATCCCAGTGCTGAGCCTCTTTTATCTCCTAGCCCTACCCTGACTCTACCTGAACCTCCCGATCTCATTTTCAAAAATAAGGAAATTTATTTATATGACAGAGATAACAATGATCAAAACCAGGAAATGGCATCTTTGACTCAATACTATTATCTACCATCTGTAGATTTTAACCACATTTCATCAGTTGTTCCAGTAAAGTAATCTGTAGTAATTACTCCTCTCTGGCCCCGGATCCAACAGAGGATCAGACTCTGCTTTGTTTTCTTAAAATCTGACGAAATACCAGATTGTGAACCTCACTGGAAAACAGAAGTTCTCAGACTGAGCCCAGGACTAGAGAGCCAGGGTCTGGGGCGTGAGGACCCTGGAAGGGTAGCAAGAGGGAGCAGCTGGTGAGGGAGGTGAAGCCAAGAGAAAGCCAGTCCACGGAAATGTCTTCCGTCTACTAGGGGTCGCCTTTGCCCACCCATACATAGAAAGTTAGCTTATTCGGGATTACAAAACCACTGCCAATGTGCTTCTTAAGACAGTTCTGTTTATTTGGTGTACAGCTCTGTGGCTGGACTACAGGCTGAGCATTCTGCCGTCTCCCCACCTTGCTTCTATATCTGTAGTCACCTGGTGGGTCACGTGAGGCTTCCCTGGTCTCAGATTCACATATTTGCTTTTCATAAGAAAATACCTAATACAAGCTACTTGATGGTGAAAACAGGTTCATGTAGCTCACAGTTTTGGAGGTTGGAAGTGTAAACAGCATAACACAGGCTTGGGTGAGGCCTCCATGACTGCATGATACCATGGTGGGACCATGTGTATGTCTCCATCAATGTGTGGTCTCTCCCTAGCATTAAAAAGCCACCAGGCCAAAATGAAAAGCCACCATTTCAGTCATGGGGATTCTATCCTAGTGACTTTCTTAATCAAATCACTTTCCAAAGTCCCCACTTCAAAACACCATACTTGAAGTGTCCACCCTCTTCATACCATTGACATAACTTTGAGAGCTAAACCCCTGTATGGGTTCAGGGGGACAAGCTATATCCAAATCATAGTAAGTATCCTGAATTGGTAACATTTTCTCCATGTGGTCACCCATCCTCCAGGGGGCTAGCCCAGGTTCGCACTCATAGTAGCTGGGCACAGTTCAGAGTCAGAGACAGAGTACAGGTGGAAGGGACTGTCGGGGCTGTTGAGCATAAATCTGGCACTGCCTGGCTTCTGCTGTTTTATTGACAAAGCATAGTCTGAAAGCCATCCCAGATACCTGGGTAGGGGATGTACACTCCAGTTTTTACTAGGAATCTGCTATCATTTTTCTCTGTATGAATGTATACCATCTATTACCTCTTGGCCCCTTTCTGTGCACAGGTGAACTCTTCGCTGCTGACGTCAGACTGCAGTGAACGCTGTTGCTGCTCTGCAAGCACTGGCCTGACATGCCATGCAACTAGCTGTCCATCCGGTCAAGTTTGTGAGCTCCAGGCAGGAGTCTGGGACTGCCAGCCTGCCCGTGGTGTCTGCTCCCTCCCTGTGGGCGCCAACCTCACCACCTTTGATGGGGCCAAAAGTGCTGTCACCTCCTCTGGCTTCTATGAGCTTTCTTTCCGCTGCCCAGGACTCCAGAATACCGTGCCCTGGTACCGCGTGGTTGCTGATGTCCAGACCTGCAACGGCAAAGATAAGGCTGTGGGCGAGGTCCACATCTTCTTCCCAGATGGGATAGTGACTCTGACCCCAAGCAAAGGCGTGTGGGTAAGTCTGGGCACAGAGGGCAGGGACCCCTTCCCTGGGGTTTCCTTCCTCCTGACACAGTGTCCTACATTCCTGGCTACCTGGTTGCCTTCTGTCCATCTTCTTCGTCCAGGCCTCTGAACTATTTTCTGGATTTGAATTTGTCTCGGTGTTTCAGACTTGGTTCCTTGCCTCAGCCTGAGTCCTTGGGGAGCAAAGTCACATTCAAATATTGAATAGCTTTGCTGCCAGTTTTAATAAAAATACCAGTGGTTACCAGTGACAAAAAAACAAATTTAAATTGCCTTAAGGAAAGATGAACTGACTGGCTATATTCCTCAAAAATCCAGAACTAACACCTCAGGAGTGTCTGGATCCAGATGCCCCAGCAATGTTGCCAGAGGAGTTTATACCTCTAGATTTCAGACTACATTACCAGATCCAGATCCTTACCACATGATCAACTTCATTCTCGAGTTTTCCCCTTCAGGGGAAAGATAACCACCACCTGCCCCAGGTCTACAGTCTACCATCTGCCACCTCAGCAGAAAGTGAGCCAACAACAGTCCCAAGAGTGCATCTTACTGGGCTGCTTTGAACCATAAGCCCACTCCTGAAACCAATCACTGTGGTCTTAAGGATGGAATGCAGTGACTGGCCAGACAAGGGTCACAGGACGTGCCAGGATTCCCCAGATCCATTCTGCGGGAGGGGGGCTCAGTGATTTTCTAGGACTCACCACATAGTTAAATTGATAGCTAAGAGTTATTACAATATTACAATAAAAGGATACAAAGCAAAATCAGCAGAGGTAGAAGGTGCTCCAGTACAGTCCTGAGGGAAACAGGCACATGCTCCTGAGAGTCCCCTACTCCTGGAATCACACAGATGTCCTTAAATTCCTCTGGCAATGACTTATGACAAACCATGTGAAACATTGTCTACAGGGAAGTTCATTTCTGTCTCAGTGTCCAGAGTTTTCCTTGATTGCTGGTCACAGAGTCACCCTCTGCTTAGCATGTGCCAAAATTTCAGACTCCCAGGATAAACTCCCAGGTGTTCTACACTGTTTGTCATCGTGGGAAGATAAGCACAGTTGAGCAGGGATCTCCACCAGTCAGGATCGCCACTTCTTACTGTCACCCTGAAGGGGCCCAGAATACTTTGGTTTTGAGAACAGAGTTAGCCCTTCTCCCTCTGTGCCAGTCCCTGTGCTGGGTCACAGACACGACTCCTCTAGTTCTTACCTGCAAAACTTGTAGCCAGTGAGACTTTCCACCCAAAGTCTACATAGATCCTTCCCTGTGTCTATCCCCGGCCCCAGCATCTAGATCCATGTCTTGTTTTTTACTCCCTTCCTTCCTTCCTTCCTTCCTTCCTTCCTTCCTTCCTTCCTTCCTTCCACCCATCCATCTTCTAAGAGCTGTATCCATCTTTCCCATCTACGTATCTACATCTCCAGTTATGTGACAGAGAGATTCAAATACAAAAGCATTTGGAAAAATGGGAACATCTCTTTCCATGAGGCTTCATCAGGGAGTCCAGCATCAGAAGGATTAATCCATCAACTAGGACACATAGAAGGTGGAAGACAAACTCTCAAGGCTGCTATGTCTGCAGGCTTGGCTAAAGAAACTGAAAGTTTCTCACATGAGTATTATATTGCTAAGGTCATTCTCTACAGACATCAGCACTACAACGACAATTGATAAAGTTGCTTTTTTAGGAATCCAGTTGCTTACAGGACGTCCTGGAGGGTTCTTCCATTGAAAGCTATAACTAAACCGGGTAACCCTGGAATTCCCGTTTGATACAAAATGCTTCGCACCTGACCTTGGAATGCTGCACTGATCCATGCTGTCATCTGTCCCCTTTCTATCCTTGTTAATGTATGCAGAAAGATATTCTCCAAAGATTATTCGGCCAGTGGGATGGCTAAGTGGGTAAAAGAACTTGCTACTAAGTCTACTGACCTAAGACTGATCCTCAAAACTCACATGGTGGAAGGAGAGAACCAACTCCCACAAGCTGTCCTCTGACCTCCATACATGTGCTAGAGCATGCGTGCACACACACACACACACACACACACGTGTGCATGCACACATATACACACACACAATAAGTAAATAAATGTTAAAAATTTAAAGTTAGAGTAGCATTACAGTGGGCATAAATGTGCACAGTGAGCTACGTGAGAACACCCCCCCAGCTGTCTTCCCACCTGTCCAACCACCTTCCCACCTGTCAAGCTGCCTTCCCACCTGCCCATCTCTCCATATAGCTGTCTTCTTCTGGGGTCCATCTCTTTCAGCACCTTCATCTTGCTTGAACTCATTATTTCGTTCAAGGACTCCACCCTGGTAACCACCCCCCATAGCTATTCTGTCACCATGTCCTCACTTCTCCATTTGCCTGCCCCCTCCACCAGGTAAATGGTCTCCGAGTGGCTCTCCCAGCCAGTGTGTTAACATCTGTGTCTGTGAAGAAGGCACCTGATGGCTCCATGCTCCTCCACCAGAAAGAAGGGGTCCAGGTGTGGCTTGGTGTTGATGGGGAGCTGGCAGTGATGGTCAGCGATGACCATGCTGGCAGACTGTGTGGGGCCTGTGGAAACTTTGATGGGGACCAGGCCAACGATGTGCATGACTTTAATGGGATAACAACGATGGAGAAATGGACAGCACAGGACTTCTCCCCATGGTGAGGGATGGAGGATGGAAGCCTTGGGCCTGAGGCAGCCATATCCTCATGGGAAAGTGGTCATTTGGGTGGGTGCTGAGTCTGCAGGATGGGGTGCTAAGTGTCTGTCTCTTGCAGTTACAACTGATCAGTCATTACTGGCAATGAAGACTTCAAGACCTGCCCCCATCCTGGAGGTTAAGTGATTGAAGGATGCTCTCTGTACCCCTTCCCTGTCCCATCCCTTCGCTGAGCCACTGAGGCTAAATTGAGAGCATTGAATAAATATCTCAAACCAAGCTGCATGATAGTGTGTCTGTCTCATATGTCTCCCCCAGCTTTCTCCCCACACCTGATGGTGAGGAGAATATATTAGGAGCAAGAAGATAGATGGTTACATGCACAGACACATGGGTAGATCAAGAAACAGACAGATGAATTGGGGATAGTTATTGGTGGAGAGTTCCAAAGTTGCAGAAATAGATGGTTAAAGGAATGGACAGATGAGAAGATGAATGATTGGATGGAGGGAAGTGGAAAGTGAGGAGAGGAGAGGAATAGATTCTGGCTTTGTCATTTATAACCATGATAAGTTACTCAATTTCTCTGACTCAGTTTTGTCACAGTTAAATAGAATGAAGTCTAGTATTATGTCATAGAATTAGAGTAAGGATTTCATGCATGAATTCAATCAACAAGCCAAATAACAGAAGAAGTGATGGGGACCATAAGGGTGTGGAAAGCAGAGTGGAAGAAAGCATATTGAGGTGAGGGGATGTCAGATGCTGCTGCTGAGGATGATCAGCGAGATAACATTAAAAAAATGCACCATTAGGCCGAGCATGGTGGAGCACGCCTTTAATCTTAGTACTCAGGAGGCAGAGGCAGGTGAATCTCTGTGAGTTCAAAACCAGCCTGGTCTACATAGTGAGTTCCAGGACAGCTGGGGCTACAGGGAGACCCTGCTTTTAAATAAATAAATAAATAGATAGATAGATAGATAGATAGATAGATAGATAGATAGATAGATAGATAGATAGATAGATAGATAGATAGATAGATAGATAGATAGATAGATAAAATAATAAAGAAAGAAATAAATAAAATGCACCAGTAGTTTTAGTAACATGGAGATCTTTTGTGACTTATGATCAGTGGATGGCTGGAAAAGCCTTATTGGAACGGGTCCAAGAACAAGAGAAGTAAAGACGCTAAGTTTAAATTTTCTCTCAAGGAGTTTTGTGTGAACCAGCCAGAGCGGTCCTTGTGTTTTTATCCTCCTACGTTCCGCTTCTGTGATGCTGGGGCAGAGCCATTGGAGAGCTGGAGTCAGTTTGTAGTTTGAGATTGTGGGTGAACATAGTGATGGGTGGGGATCTGGATGGGTGCTGAGGGCAGTGTGATCATGAGGAGGTAAAGGACCATGAAATTATGACCAACTTGATGGATGTTGGGAATTAAGGAAACTTGGAGTATTGGCACTAAAGATATTAAGATGATGGGCAGAAAATGGGGCTTTGTCAGGGCTGTTGTTTGAGAGCCAATACTGTCTGGATGCAGATCACTCTTTCCCAGGAGGCTGGGATCTCTGGGGCTATTATACTCACTATGTTCCCAGCAAAAAGATTAAGTGTGGCCATGGGAGTGACAGCTTGGTGGAAGAATATGATCACTGGACAAGCAAAGAAGGCACTGAGAGGCCAGTCTATTCACAGGATCAACTTGAATTTGGAGAAGAATTATGATGGGAGCACTATAGGCATCAATGGGCCCTCAGCTACAACCACAAAGAAAGCCAAAACAACTTGGGAGTTAGCAACACTAACTACAAGAGTGGAGTACATCCCAAAGAAGCTTCAGCATTAGAAGGTTAGGGCCGAGGGAGAGAGAAAGATGCCAATGTGGCTTTGAGGAGGGGGTGAAGGGGTAGGCCTGCCCCATCAGTGAGCATGAGGGTGGGTTAGAAGTAGGCTGTTCCCACCTGCAGGGCAGCATGGAAAGTCAGTTCTTAAGAAAGAGCAGGTGGTAGTCACAGCAAAAAAGCAAAAGGTAGCTTCAGGGCCTGGAGAGTTGGCTCAGCGGTTAAGAACAATGGCTGTTCTTGCAGAAGACCTGGGTTTGAATCCCAGCACCAATATGGCAGCTAACAACTGTCTGTAACTCCAGTTCCAGGGGATCCAATGGCCTCTTCTGTCCTCCGTGGGCATTGCACGACACAGGTGCACTTACCTACATGCAGGCAATACACACACACACATACACATAAAATAAAAATAATAAATAAAAATTTAGCTTCAGAAGGCATCGTTTGGATATGAAATGTCCCTCCAAACCCCATATCTTCAAGGCTGAGCCTCAAACACAGTGTTCAGAGGTGGGGCTTTGCCCAGGTGATTCAGTCAGCACTTCAGTCAGTGGCTCCTTCTACTCAGAGAGCCCAATTGAGAAACAGAGACAGTTTAAGCAGAAGTACATTTAGCAAAGCAAAGTGGTAATACTCTTCAGAGTGTTCGGAGTCAGCTGACCAGAAAGGGGGCTGCTAGCAAGGAATCACGGATTTGCTATTTTTTAAGAGTTTTTAAATGAATATTTATGACAGACAAATGGATATTCGTCAGAGTCAGGTGACTCATTTTCTCCCCAAAACCATGGTGGACCAGCTCTTCCTTTTAGAGGATTTCTTGCCATGATTCTCTTGAAAAGTTTTTAGGGCCAGGGCACAAAATCACAAGGATATTATAAGGAAACCAGGGTGTTTTGAGGATGCAGACCCTCCATTGGTGTGTGTGCATGGCAACTGGGAAATTCTCTGAGGTCTTCATTTCTATATAGTGGGAAGACCCTAACTATAGCTCTAGGGGTACTTAATCACAAGGGACATTTTGACCATCGACAGGCACAGCCACCAAGATATAGCTGCAGTTTTTAACCTCACATCTAACCCCAGGCCTGCCTGGTCTCATTTCCCCCCTCGATAAATTTAGACCCCTATAATTTTATAAGAGGGCAAGGCTGAATTCTCTTTCTTCAGTAACTTCTGAAGATTTTGGAGGTACACAGACTCTCACTATTGGTCCAACATCCTTACTATCTAAGTTTATGAAGTAACCAAGGCTAGTTAGATAAAGGATAGAAACTTCTTGGTATAAGCAGCCACTGATTTTTAAAAATATTTTATTATTTTTACTTTATGATTGTATGTGTGTATTGCCTGCATGTAGGTAAGTGCACCCGTGTCGTGCAATGCCCACAGAGGACAGAAGAGGCTGTCAGATCCCCTGAAACTGAAGTTACAGACGGTTGTTAGCTGCCATGTGGGTGCTGGGATTCGAACCGGGTCTTCTGTAAGACAATCACTGTTCTTAACTGCTGAGCCATCTCTCCAGCCCAGCAGCCACTGATTTTGTTGACTGGAAAGTCCACAGAAATTTTGTCCCATTGATCTAGGTGATACCACATGTTCTGGTCCAGGAGAGGTGAGCCAGTATCTTTACTAGATGACCATCTGAGGCTGATTCTGATGAATTCTGGAAGAACCAAACCTGGTTAGCCATTGAAAGCAGCAGGGACTCAAAATACAGAGTGAGATAAATTTTACTAGAGGAGTAAGAGGGGTCAGTCACAGCTACCCCAATCTAAACAACAATGGGGGAACTCTACCACGGAGAAGAAAGGACACCAGGACAGGAACACCCACATGGGGAGAGAACAGGAAGCAAAAGCCTGCTGTGCCATGAGGAGAGGCCAGACAATTTTTTGTTTCCAGAAACCCCCATGAGGCCAGAGGGAACCAAGACAGGAAATATGACCAATGGTTATGTGCCGGTTATGCCTTGGTGGTTCCTTGGTCAAGTTAAAGGACATACTTTGAAGTCTGGGGGAAAATAGAGGGAGTGTGGATTGAGCCTGGGGATGAACATGGTGGACCCAGCTATGATTTTCTTCCCAGCAGTGACAGAGGAGACCTTAAGTGGAGAGTTAGATACCTATTTACTTAGAGCCAGATTAATTCATTTTGACAAAAATACAATATCTTAAAAGGATTTTCACAGCAGTAAAGAAAGTATTTGCCCAACAAGGCATACGCAGGGGTGAACTTCAGTATTATAATAACACCTACCATGAACATAAGTCCAAAGTCAGGAGTTATGGATCATGAGCACTTAGGTTTGCTTGCTGAGGTTGGCCCTTGAATTTTGTTTTAAAGATAAAATATAGATTCTCAATTGGGTTTCTGCTCTAAATCAGACTCACCATGAGCACTGTCTGGAAAATAGGTTTGCTTGTGGGGTTTTTTTGGTCGTTTTGAGATGGGGTCTCCCTGTAGCCTCCAGCTGTCCTGGAACTCACTATGTAGACCAGGCTGGCCTTGAACTCACACAGATCTGTGAGGTTGTTAGCTGCCATGTGGGTGCTGGGATTTAAACCTGGGTCCTTGGGTCCTCTGCAAGAACAGTCAGTGCTTTTTTTTTTTGGTCTGTTTGAGACAGGGTCTCCCTGTAGCCTCCAGCTGTCCTGGAACTCACTATGTAGACCAGGCTGGCCTTGAACTCACAGAGATCCACCTGCCTCTGCCTCCCCAGTGCTGGGATTAAAGGCGTGCGCCACCACACCCGGCTGGAAAATAGGTTTTTATGACAGACAAGTGAACCAAATTAATAATCCGCTGGACTTTGACAGCCGCCTAAGTACATGAGATCTGGTAAAGTCCTTATAAACAGACTGAAACTGGTCATCCGAGTTACTATCTTTGAAGGGCTTTACGAGCACTTGGCTGAACCAGGTCAGGCCCAGAATCCTGATTGGGCACTGGTAAAATTTTGGTTTTTAATATTATCAATTAACTTTACTTTTTAGTCTGGGGGTGCGGGGTGCATGTGACACCACACACGTGGAGGTTGCAGGACAATTTAAACAAGTTGGTTCTCTCCTTCTACCATGTGGATCCTATGAATCAAATTTGGGTAGTCAGGATTAGCTGTGAGCACCACTACCTGCTGAGCCATCCTACTGGCCCTAACTGTTCGAGACCATGTAGGTGGCCAAAAATCAATCTTTTTTTTCTTTCCTTTTTACTGTTAAAGCCATCAAAGCAAAGTAAGGTTACTCCATAAGTAAGGCACTTAGGGGGTGTCCTTTGGATCCTTTAGCTTTTCTTCTGCCAGTTGTGCTGGGGTGCATAAGGGTCTTACTGACTTTGCACTTTCTTTTGGAAGCACACAGGATATTTCCTCCCCTAGTGACACTCCTCTTTTGGGGATGCGCAACCCCT